TCTAATACATGCATCACGATATTTTTTGGTATTCAACAATGTCCTTGTTTTGTCCCTGGTTTCGTCAATTGGTGGCGGAGTTACTAGCATTACTTTAGCATATTTCATTGCCATCTCTACCATTTGATTAAGATTGTGTGTGTATTCTTGAACGGAGACTGTTCGACTGACATCATTAAGGAACGCATCATTAGTTCCCAAGAAAATAACCGTCAATAGTAGGGGATTTAAATGATCTACTCATAAGTAAAATTTAGTGCTGACCTTTTGAATGCTTATCAAGTGAAGGTTTAAGTAATGGAAGAGTCCAATTTGTTGTATATCCTCCACGTCCATTATCAATAAAGGAGATTTCTCCATCGTATATCTTTTGAAGAGCTGTAGCCCATCCATTTTGGAAAAATGCAATCTGAAGATCAACCAATAATTTACATTTACTTCAGTTAATGAATCTCCCAGTAAGATCACCTTTCCAGCATAAACAATATGTGATAGATATACCAACAGTAATAAATTTCTCAGCATTGTATGTTGGAGAATAGGGAAGATTCTACTTAACATCAGGTTCCCACAGCCACCAACATTGTTCCCAAGATCAATGTAATAATTCGCATGGAACAAAATGAAATAGTGGCCGATATTTAAGTTTTTTTGGATCGCTATAGTTAATCGATCAATAACGCGATTACTTTGTGATTATAGAGTGAGAAACCATGGCCACATCGTCCCTATACAATAACGTGAATTCTTCATTTCAAGAGAAGTGAATGAAACCTTATATTCAAGGATGATAATGAACGTTACTTAAGTCCCGGTCTCTAATTTAAGGGTAAACCATTATCTAAGAGAGTAAAATTTCAGTTATTAAGTATTTCATAGGCTATCGACAGTGTTTTATTAAACAAAATCTACAATAAAAAGACGGTTTCCGATCTAATGTAGATGGTTTTGGTTGGCATTACTCGGCAGCAATATTCGGTAATCTGGCGGAGACAGAGATTCTTGATACGAAGGCAAAGGGACATCAAGATTATCTGGTTTTGGAAAGGAAGTAGTAGAATGATCCACCAATACTCCATCCACTTCCTCAGACAAAACAACCTGAATTCCATACCATATTAGCCCAAATAATAGTAAGACCATGAACACCATAAAAACTCCAAAAGCAGCATAGCTATATCTCTCTGGATTTGAAAATGGTGACGAGAATCTGTAAGATTGTGATTGGCGACTGTTAGTATTCAATGTAGATGAAGTGGAATTGGAACCAGCAACAATCATAAATGGAGTGAAACAATCAATGTTAGAATTGAACTTGTTTGATCTAAGATAAGAGGCATGTGTCACCATCAACACAGTTTACCAAAGTTAGTTCTCTTGGCCTTAACCAAACCAAAGCAGACCATTCGATCAAGGGCACTGGAAATCTCATGGTCGATCTTTTATAACTGGAAAAGATTATTTGGGGATGCAGCCAAATACATCTACTAATTGTTATCATGCTAGTCATAGCGTTTACTGGACAAACCCACGTCGCCATGCACATCCAATATTACCAATAAATCACATGTATGCGTCTATTCTAACATTTCTGACGTCAGAATTTATGGCAACTATGTTTAACATCGCTTTTGTATACTATGTACCAGCAATATAATTCGATTTTAATGGGAGCTTCATCTCATAATGAATGGTAGTAATCACGAAATATTACAAAACAGGCTAGACAGTCTAATTTAAGCTATATTTTTTTGTTAGAAAACAAACTATTCCGTCTTAACTCCACAACATCAAGATTTAAATGTTGTGGTTTTAATGAGAGCAAATCTACAGTTACATAAACACAAATATGAGATCCTTGAGGACAGTTAATCATTGGCTGCACTTTGATCTTGTTATCTTTAAAAGACAATAACATGTACACAATTTCTATACATTAATATACTGTTTGTTACCATCGTTAACCTTTATCCCCAAAACAACAAGCCGGATTTTCAAAAATGTTTTCAGAACAGGTGGTGCATTTATGTATAGTTGATTTGCTCGATCAGTTAGGTATGGATAAGGTATAAACTGGTGGATTCCCACTAAGCGAATCATATAGACAAGAAAAGCAATCACAATGGATACTTTAGGGAAATAATATGCTATAATACCCAAATGTGCAATCAGCATAAAAACCAATAAAAATGACATTGAATTTCCTAAATGGCAAATAAAATACAAGACAATAGTTGATAAACTCAATGTTGAAACTCCGTCTGTAGTATGAGTTGCATCAATTTCTTCCCAATGTAATTGCACTATTTCATCATCCACTGTGGTAGCAAACAAAATATTTGGTAAAGTTGATTTCTGTTCCGATAATGCCGATTCCAACTGAAAGGCGGTTTTCCGTACATCGTAATACCTAAAGTTTGTTACAATATATTTGAATACCAAAAGAACCCAAATCCTTCAAAACATAGAGAAATGTTTGAGTGAAAAGTATCAACAAACTTTGTCAATTCATAAACTATGCAGTCAATTTCATCCTAGGTTGTTAGTTCCTTGAATTTGATTACTTTCTGCCCTTCTGCTAGTAGTTCTAACATTTGGAAAGTTGTGGTTGAAGTGATTGAAAAATAGGAATGTGGCTTCAAAACGATAGATCCCTGTACAAAGAATTTGAAAACGCTTAAGAATTGTTCAGAGAATGGAAATGACTTTTTAAAATAAAATTAGAAGTACAAATAAATTGTATTGAACTATTAAAATGTCACGTTTATACGCTTTTTGTCTATGGTTGGATCGATAAGTAAATTAGTATCGATCTGAAGTAATAATCAGTTGACTTAAATCCACTTGGTCATAAACTGGGTCCCATAGGACTTTTTGATGATAGTCCAAGATGAAGCGTTTAGGGACCATTGAATATCGCTTTTGACCAACATTGAGGTTGTGGTAAAGCATCTTTCGTGTTTTATCAGTGTGTTGATCGCTAATACCGTTTGTCCATAAAATGGAACTGAATTTTGATTTTCCGCGTTCTTGATTTTGATTTGGTTGGCTATCTTGCCATTGGTGACAAATAGACTGTAGGGTTTGAGGGATATGTGGTAAATTGAGTTTGAGAGACTTTCCAAATAAGCTTTCTTTAGAAATCGTTAATGTAACAAAGTCAAATAGCGCATTTCGTTCTTTAATTCGAAAGTAATGTATGTATAATCGTTTCCAATCCATTTTTTCCCTACAATATATCAGTATCTAACTGAGATGGATATTACTTGACTTTAGAACTTTCACTACCAAGTAAGCACAATGAGAACTATTACCTCAAATCAGTTATTAAGGACGCAGGTTCACTGTACCCATCTTTTAAACAGAGTCGCTTCCAAACTTCTTGTAAATTTGATAGATCGTACATAAGATGATTGACAAGTGATACCAAACGCAATGTTCGGCCATCTAATCTAGCCAAAATTTCAATCCAAATTTCATTTGGTAACTTTGGAATTTCCATTATTGATCGTTATTTAATGTTTAATTTTTTATTCAAAAATATTCACTCGTTTGATTCTTAAACAAATGGAGTGGATATCATCTAAAAACAATGTGTCAGGCAACAAAACGCCATAAGTTATCAGATAGAGTAATTATTTAGTGCAAAAACAATAAATCATTTTGAGAACAAGAGGAATTCTCACTAAAAGGAAGTGTACAAGTTCCACGCGATTTTTCATATTACCAACAATTATAGTAAACGAGCACAATCAAGTAATTTAAATAAGTATATATTACAAAAGCATTCATGTCTGGTAATATAGACTGACCAAGAAAACTGGTGGGAAAAAAAGTTGCTCTGTACTGATTATGAGTACAATCATCTACTTTGTGTGACTTTTATCATATATATTTACCGACTGGCACTTCAACAATCTTTATTGTTATTTGCACCATAATTGACATTGACTTTATTTTTAGGCGATATATATAGTCGTAATTTGCTATTCTAAGTTTCCGTTTGTGGCATTGACTAAAGAGTGTACATCTCAGGTATTCTGTTTTCTTTCATGATAGGTATTTTAGCATTTTATGCTTTGGAAATTCTTCCTTGATTTCTAGTTAACCCTTACTTTAAACCACTTTAATGTCCAAATCATAAAAATTGGGTATAGTTTTCCTCATCTGCTGGATATACGATCAGATAAGGCAGTTTTCTGTTAAATTTAGGGATTCTGGTTATATAATGAATGCAAATGGGATAATAGATTCTTTAATCAGATTTAAAAACTCCTAAAACTAAAATTCACACTTTCGACATAACAGGACAGTATGGTATTTGTCCTCTTTGAATTCTAAAAATCAGTTACTGAAGTTTGATGCTTGACGGGTGAATATACATAAATTGGAAAAGTAGGAAACTTCCGAAATCAACTCTAAAACTTTACGCAGATCCAGAAACGTGGAATTAACGATCAATAAATCCTCTTCCTGATCCATTTTAAGAATTATCCAACAGGAATCTGGTTCACTATAAGGGCTGTTGTTTCTCCTGTTGTAAACCATCAAACATTTACAACGTATGCCCTTGCAAAAAACATCTTGATGATGCATTTGGATCTATCAAAGATAGGTGTAGCGAATTTACAAAACAACGAAGGTTTTAATGCTTTGGTAACATCGCGTTCGAATTCCCAAAATACCTGGAAACAAAGGAACAAAAACTTTATACCGCTGTTGATAAGAACCATATCTGCTCGGCCAGTCATACACTTCAATCAAGTTAAAGAAAAATAAAGCTGGGAACAAAACGCTAAAACAAAGAAAATTAGATACACAACCCTAAGTTACTTTTCGCAAAGGACGGCTTGAAATGATATGAAGTCCAAAGCGGCATCGGATTTTGTACCACCATTCCCACAACTATTCAAATATCGGTTGACTCTAAGCGTTTCAATGGGCAAAGTATTTCACTTATGTCATTCCTTCAGAAGCAGAAACTGGAAAAAAAATCCCAAGGTTTCTTAGTGAAGTGGTTATCACGACAGACTCTGAATCTGTAGTCTCGAGTTCGAATCTCGGAGAGACCTGTTTCATTTTTTCGATTTTCTATCAGACAAACTTTGGCTCGAATCTCATACCTTTTCTTTTAATTCTTGAAATGAAGAGTTGATATGATAATAGACGCTTAACTGAAGACAATGAAAAAACTGGAACTACAGTACCAGACAAGTAGTGCAGATCCAGTTTTTCACATTGTCTTGAATTAAGTCTGGCATGCCATCTTTCCGTTTGAGTATTGCAACTGAAGATACACATGAACGGTCTTGGACCTGCAACTCTTCTGTCAATTCCCATTAACCATTGCAACGGCAGGGATTTTTCATATTTAAACGGAGTTGCTGGATCGTTTCAATGTCATCATTCTCCAGGTTAATATCACCAGATATAGTTGCTGATAGTTGCTGAAGATGGTGATATTAACCTGGAGAATGATGAAATGACACTGGATGTTACTGGAGATAATAACTGTCTATTTTAATCAGTTGTCCCATCGGTATCTTCATGTAGTTTATCTTTAAAAGTAGCTCTGAGTACAATTGTTGTATTATGTTTGAAATAATAATTTGTAATTGTTCATTCTAATAACACATTTGATCATATATGTAAGATTCTAGAAACAGATAGTTAGGAAATTTCAAGAATTAAAAGAAATTCGAGCCAAAGTTTGTCTGATAGAAAATCGAAAAAATGAAACAGGTCTCTCCGAGATTCGAACTCGAGACTACAGATTCAGAGTCTGTCGTGATAACCACTTCACTAAGAAACCTTGCAATTTTTTTTCCAGTTTCTGCTTCTGAAGGAATGACATAAGTGAAATATCTAAAATTTTATTCTATACCTTGAAGAAACTTCTTCGACCAAGACTGATATTACTATCAACTACCTAATACATTTTCAACATCGATTTTATCTTATATCTGCTCTAAAATTCAATTAAATGTCGCAAGTTTCTTACCTCAATGCTGTGATTGAAATTCTTTTCTTGAATTGGTGATGGTTTCCACATTACCCACGATCAACCAACTAAACTCTTTGAACAACCAAGAATTCATTCAAGTTATAAATACTTTGTTTGAAACTGCTCCTCCACTAGCAAATGCATTGTTAGGTTCAAGACCTTTTCAATCTTATATGGACTTGATTGATCGGTCGGATATGATTATTAAAGCAATGAATGAGGAAGATCAAATCTTGGTAGTCAATGCTCATCCAAGAATTGGTATATAGTATATTTTTAACTCAAGGTGCTCCTGCCCAAACACTCTCTGCACTCTCCGCTAAAGAGCAAGGAACATATATTCCTGAAGAAACGCTTAAGTTAGTGTTGAAGCAATTAGAAAAACTAAATCAAACCTATGAAGACAAATTTGGATTTAAGTTTGTGGTTTTTGTGAATGGAAGATCTAGAGTTGAAATTGTTAAAGTAAGTAATCTAAATACCTATTGACTATCTTCTAGGTTTTGGAAACCAGATTACTCAACAGCCGAGAGCATGAACTAAGAACTGGGCTTTCTGACATGATTTTGATTGCTAAAGACAGATTATCAAAGTTACAATCACATCTGTAATCGTACAATCAGTACAATCGTGTTTTTCTTATACAAATACATTGTTTCTTAGACACACTGTCCATTCAATGATTATTAATAGTAAATTTTCGAATCATTAGGAGATTCTTAATAGTATATATTCCAATCATTAGGACATGATTCAAAGATTTTGATTCAAAGATTTCAGTACTGAATCTATTGGATTGCAGTATTTCAATGGTGTATTGATAGGATCTATTTATATTATCCTAATGGATCTTGTGCACAAGTGCTAATAGTCCATAACAAATGAAAGGAAGTCATTTGATGCAAGGATTCGAATAGTTCAAGTTCTTATAGGAGAGTTTAATTGATGAAAGGATGGTGAGAAATCCCATTGAGAACTTTAGGTTAAAAGTCTAATTATTAAACTTTCACTTAAATGGCTGATCAATCACAACCTGTATCAGAAGCGTAACTTAGTATGTTTTAATGATAGCGACGACTTAAATATTTTGCTTGAGGTAGTGAACAAATATCTTATTCTGATTAGTTTATCCAAAGTAACTACCTCATCTGATATTAGAAAAGCTAACTGAGAAGCGAAATGCTTTGCAAAGAAAACAAGCTCAAGTTTTAATAGACATCAAAACTCGCTCAGCTAATGTGTTAAAAGATTTACAGTCAAGTCAAGTACAAAGACTTGAACAATTACAGTCTCAAACTAAATCATCTATTGAAACCTTGCTTGAAAAGAGAAACAGTCAAGTCAATCTATTGAATGAATTAAATGAAGACTATCTTGTAAGGTATTTATCTAAAAACAGGATTTGGAAAAGAATTGCAGTGATTTACAGTTAAAACTAAAGGGACTTGTTGTTGATGATCAAGAAAATTTGGCTATATTAATAGAACACTATAAAAGTAAGTCAATGATAGCTTATTACTCAGGTTTCTTGGAATCTAATTGTATTTAGACGCGCTGAAATAAAAACTTTGCACAAACATCTCATATTCATAATATTCACTCAGATAATTCTGGTTATATTAAGTTGTTTTAGGCGAATACTGATATGATAACGCTTTAATCGATGAAGATAGTGAAAGTTTAGGTATCGGTGGTAATGATTTCTTTGTGGATCGTACAGTAATGGCCAATTGTTCATTTGCATTTTCCAAGACTCTATTCAGTTTTGCTTCTCTCTTAAAAGTAGCTTTCTTCGACCTTTCTGTGCACTTGTATTTCATAAACAGTTGATTTGGATTGGAATAGTATGGGTGGTTGGTTTGTGAACCAACCGAATTGGATATATTAGTTGTTGATAGAGATATCTAAGGTTGTTAAGTAGTGCCGTACTTACTAAATCAGTTGAACTTCCTTTCAACTGTGATAAAAAATTAGTATTAGGTAGCTTACTGTTTGAAATCCTTGTGAAAAATAATCTTTAATTAATGAATCCCTACTTCTGGGTTTAGGAAAAACTTGTATTCGATCCAATTCATGTACATCAATACCAATATTGTGCATTGATATTTGAGGGGAGTCTAACATTGTCAAATCACCAACGCGATAATCTAACTTCTTTGGAGGTTGTGGTTGAATGAATTTTTTGTTCACGAAATATTCTCTTGGAAATATTTTTTGTAATTGCTTCATCGTGATACTTGCTTTCATTCTTTGCTTTCTCCATTCTTCAATGCCTGAATTTGGGGTACAATACACCACACTATTAGAGTTTTCAACGCGAATTAAGACTGGGGGATGGCATTCGCTTTTGGGGTGTGGCATTCGGTATTCTTTTTCTATGGGTTTTCCTGAAAATGGTATTGTAGGAATACCTTCCATTTTTGGTGTAACAGCTTTTGTTGTAACATCAGCAGATTTCTGCATAGATTTGCCTCTATAATAGTTCTCAATATCACTTGGTCCTAATCAATCAAAATGGTACAACGGAATTACGCATCACTATCGATTGTGGTCTGGCAGGCCGATATGAAAATTCCACATCACCTTCCATTTCTGATACATTATTTATCTCATTGGAGTCTGGTAAATCTGCAGGCACAGTCGTTTTATGTTGATCGCCATATTCAATCTGAATTATTTTCTTGGAATGATAGTAAATTGGATCCGATTTATTTTCTCTTTCATCATCCATTTTTCTAGCCTATAATTTATTATGTATGGATGCATTAAATACCTAATTTATATAAAAACACGAGTTTTAAGGTTACCACACGACAAAGAATGGTATCTTCAAAATCAACTTCTGGTTCATTGGATTTTGATTTAGTTTTTTTACGATCATCTATAGATTTCTTTTTCAATGTTTCTTCTTTATTCATTGAATTCCAAGGTTCTAGATCACAAACCTCTTCATCATCATCATAATCATACGTTTGATTCGAACCATCATGATTATCATGCATCATTTGACTAAAAGATTAAATTTCAATCGAAGTGGATATTAGTGCTAAACACCGTAAGAATTGTTTTTGTGGATAAACAAACCTAGTTGGTGATAGCAGCAAATGGTAACTTTATATTATGTAACAGCAACCTAACACATGGTCATGACTATATTTCTATCGCTTAGTTTAGGTCTTGTTACAGATCCTACATAATATATATCCAATTTTGTTTTATATTTAGGGTGCATTTACATATGAACAAATTCTAATAGCCCAAAACCTGTTTGTAACTACACGACCGGCTTTCAACTTATAAGAGAGGTATGGTTAGTCGAAAGTTTTAGCCAAAAGATAAAGATTATCCGCAATAAAAAATAGACAATTAAACCAACCAGATATCATAATATGAGGCCCTTGTTTATTTTCGATATTGAGTACCAAGGTAAAATGAGAGAGTAAATGCAGCAATGAGCGAAGTCATCTGTAACGGACGGCGATACTTTTGAACTGCATGTCTTATTCCTAAAGCTAATCTGGACGGCATTGGTGATTCAATTGCCATTCCAACAATAAGACTTCCCCAAGTACCTTTCTTGAACCCTATATTTTGATATGAAGGATAATGCAACAAGTCTGTCCATTGAGTACGAATCACTGTAGATCGTTTGCGAGTAAATGTCTCAAACCCGTGTTTACCGTGATA